TTTTTTTTTAATTATGGCATGACTAATTGGGTCTCTTAGGGCAAACATAGTGAGTTAGATATTACAATTTCTTATCCACATGAGTACTTTATAGAGCATGTGTGAAGGAAAAATTACTGAATTATATGTTTTGGGGATATACTTTTGTTTTAAATCCAAATCTAACTCACTGCATATCATGTTATAAATATATTCAATGGACATTTATTTGTAACGGACATAACGGATGATTTTATGGCTCATTATGTTTATTTATGTCCTTTTGTATTAGTTATATATGGAAGTGTATTTCATGTAATATATAGTAGATGATGAACACGCAGATGAATGAAAGATCAGCCTTCCCTCTCCATTCTCTATTCCTTCTTCTTACTTGCGTTTATATTATTTTATAACACGTTATCAGCACGATTGTTAGAGGTACCATATTTTATATGGGGTGTCTGATTATACAACTGTACACACAATGCAGTCAACGTACCTTTGAACAATAAATGGAGTCCCGAGTTGGATCATTTTTGCTTTTTATTCTGGTTTCGGGGGTTATTTTAACACGTTATCAGTACTTGCTCTACCACCACCTCCCGACCAGCCCCAATTGCCGGTGCGCGCTACCTTTGGCGCGATATGTCCCTCAAGGATTGTTATGCCTAGTATATGGTTTCAAAATAAACATTTCTCTATTTGCGTTATTATTTATAGTGCGCAGTCTATTTCAAATATATCACCACCACAACGTACCTCTAAAAAAACTACCAAAGAAGCCTCTGTCTCTTGATTAGCTAATACCAAGAGCACATGATAGGAGACCAATGCATATCCTTAGGTACGCTGACTGCATACTTAATTAATGAAGATTGTTTCTCGGCATTAGGGGGAGATAAGAGTTCAAATTTAATAGAATGCCAAGAAATTTCATAGAATGAAAATATCTTCATTATTTAAATCCATGTACTAGTTAGACTGAACTGGAAGTTCAAAAGATAATCTATTTGCGATATTAGCAAATAATCTGCCAAATACATATCTTGATCATACTGATCATAAAAGAGTGACTAGGTCCCATATACCTTCCCCAACTTGGACTAAATATATCGATACTCCTTGATACCAGAAGTATAGGAGATCCATCGGTGTAAGAAATAAGAATCATTATAATAGATCTAGTATAAAAATATTGTCACTCTTGAAATAGCATTGAATAATTTAGTCCTGAAGACGCTCGTCCAGATGACAAGAAACCTTAGTCAATTTATAGGTGCACCAAACAAACACAATACTAGAGATGCGGAACGACCAGATCAAAATATCTTTGGGAAATGTATAGAATCTGGTTGTTTTAGAAATTGTCATTACTTTTACAAATATGGGAGACATTTATAAAAAGGTTATAGTTGTCGACAACACAATTGCCCTTACAAATTGCTCCGTTATATGATAATAATCTGGATCCAGAGTTAGGCACCGGAAGTGTCATGACTATTTAACGTATAAAGGAGCAATTAAGGCATAGCTTGACTCGCTAAAATGGATAATTCTCTTTATAATAATACACCATTTGAGCGTTAACCCTGAAGGTTACATATGGGTGTGTGCATGAAAGAGAAATAAGAATAATGAGGTGATGAAGCGAGTTTGTAGCCTATGGGTTCACGCAGAGACCCTTAATTGATTTTAATCAAATATACTCTCCCACGGTAAATGGCATTAAGTTCCGCTACATAATACAATTGGCAGAATAATAAATTTAGATATGAAGTTAAATTTATTTTGAGAAATCCTGGATGGATTCATAATTCTCGAAATGAGGATTTATTTAAGTATTATTATGTGTCATTATTTACTCTTTAAAGGGTTACGAATGGAGTTAATATCCTCATTGAAGGAATAATATGTACCATTGTGTGCTCGATAAATGGTTGATAATGAACTTATTTATTATTTATTATCTCAGTCAAGATTGATGGTGTAAACATCAATGGAATATATAAAGAGCTTGATAATGTCAGTTCATGTTTAAAGACTGAGACTTTTGAAATAAAAAGCTTGTGAGAGCTATAAGTATTATCTCGACTTAAAGATCGAGTTTTTCTTTGAAGATTTTTTTATATACACCAGTCAGCCTACATCTAAAAATGCTTTTTCACATGTCTATATGCATATAAGTGTCATGTTTTTATCAAACTAAAGGTTGCCTAATAATCTCTTGAAGCAGATAAGGGACCTTTTTGGACTCGAAGTCCCTTACTTCATTATCATTGGAGTACCATTATAGAACCAGAAGTTCCATAACCGCAACATATTTGCGATGAAATTGCTAGCAAAATCTAGTGCTCCCCTACAAATGAAGTACTTGAATAATGATTAACATATCCTCCAGTATCTTCGAGATACAAAGACATGACATTTATGTAAGAAACCATGATACGGTTTTAATAGGCTACTTGGGTACTGGCAGTTTTGTTTGATCCCTGTCATGCCAAGTCCAAACTGGTTATACAATGAATTTCCCTAAATGTTCAAAATGAGGACAAAAACACTTGTGTTGTACAAATGTTATATGAGCTCTAGAAGAGCCATAAGATTATTAGATATTTACTCTAGTGACAATCCAGAAGATTTGTCCAATCCATTTGTTCAAATTTTTGAAATATATGTAGAACTTGAAGATTGTTATCTTCAGGGGGAGACGAGAAGTACATTTACTCGAATCAATCCGGAAGATTGAATGTAAAATCCTGAAGATTGGGTCTTGACGACTAATGATTGTACTCTTTTCTTTAGCTAAAGCTTTTTCCATACTGGGTTTCCTTAGCTTAAGGTTTTTAATGAGAAGGCTAAAACAAGAATACACATACATCATGCACTATTTTCTTCAATTAGGTTTTTTTCACGTGGTTTTCCTAATGAGGTTTTTAACGAGGCATGAGTATGATATATGAATGTAAATGGGAAAAAGTTGCAAAATAATTGCTTAAGTAGACAAACCCCAAAATCCTGAAGATTATGCCGATTGTGCCCTGAAGGCTATTGGTTGTACTCTTTTTCCCTTAGTTAAGTTTTTCCCACAGGGTTTTCTTAAGTTAAGGTTTTTGATGAGGCGACCAATACAATATATGTTTTTACATATATCATGTACTCTTTTCTTCAACTAGGTTTTTTTCCCACGTGGTTTTCCTAGTGAAGTTTTTAATGAGGCACGAATATATTTTCTATTGTACATTTTCTTGTCTAGGTTTTTCCCACAGGGTTTTCCTAGCAAGTTTTTATCGAAGCAAGATTGTGGACAAATAATGTCCAAGGGGGAGTGTTATAAACATATTTAGTGGACATTATTTGTAACGGATGTAACGGATGCTTTGATTGCTCATTATATATATTTATATCCTTTGTAATGGACACACCATATATCATGGTGTGGAGATGAATGAAATGATAACCCTGGCCTTACCTCTCCATTCTCTGTATTCATTCTTTCTGTTTTCATATGATTATACGACAATATAAATGTTATCCGTTAGTTAAATGACGATTAAAGGAATTGACTCATTTCAAAACTATTATAAATGTTATCCGTTAGTTAAATGACGATTAAAGGAATTGACTCATTTCAAAACTATTAGCTGTATTCGATCAGTTAATTTTGGAGTTTTGCTTCTGATAACATTATCCTTTGGAAGTCTGTCCTTTTCTCTACCCCTCCCCTCAACTTTTATAAGAAACAACCGTACAATATATTACTCCGTATATAATATTATTACTATCAGTCTATCACCAATAATAATATTGTAAATAATGGTGTCATGAATAAGCTTGTAATTGTACATGTACAATGAATGTAAAGTACAAGAAACATCTCTGAGATACCACGTCATTTGACAGCCCAATCAATCAAATTTAAAGAGATAAAAAGATCTATTGGCTAATGTATATTACGGAGTAATTTATTTGCTCAGAAAATACTTGGTGTATTCTCATTTTAAACTCCCAACTTGTACTCCCTCCCACATACTTTTGATGTAGACATTTTGCTGTGGACCCACATGATAAAAATAATCAATCATAGTTTACCACCTCAAGGAATATAATGAGGGAGTAGAATTTTGGGAGTCTATGTAATAGAACTCTATTTGCTCTTTAGCCAATAAATATTTTCTCTCTCCCAAGTGTTTAAATTTGATCGGTTGAGTGACATTGTATCAGATTGTTATGCCGTAGAATCGTGTCCACCTTGCAAGGTGGACACGATTCTATGTTTATAATTACTAAAATCTATCATAATTATAAAATTTTAGGTTTATAATTTTTGAAGTTCATATTTACCATTATTGAACTCTATATTTACAATTACAGAACTCCATGTTCATAATTATAAAATTCTATGTTCATAATTTTTGAACTTCATATTCACAATTACAGAACTCTATATTCACAATTACAGAATTTTATATTTATATTATAATTATAGAACTCTATGTTCATAACTCTATGTTTATAATTACATAACTCTATGTTCATACTTTTTGAACTCTATATCCACAATTATGACAATTTTGGAACCGTGTCTACCTTACAAGGTGAACACAGTTCCACAGCATAATTTGCCCATTGCATCTCGGTATATACAGTCTTATCTCTGGCAAATTATTGTGTGGACCATGATCCACACAGTGTTATGTGAACCATAACAAAAAGTACATTTTCAATATACTAAATATATATTATTTTTGTACTGAATATACACTATACAATATAATGTACACTTCATACAAACATAATGTACATCCTCTAAATATAATGTACATTATTTTACAGTATACAAAATATGGTAGGTGCACACTAATGATTGCTTATCTCCTATTTGGGCTACTTAATTATGGACCATTTCATTAGACAGGCCCAAACAGACCAACCCAAACTTGTTGAGTTAACTTGCGTCAATTATCTAATCTAGATGACTAGATTAATAAAATTTAAAAATTTAAAAAGAAAAAATAAAATAAAAACTGAGTGAGAAAAAACAAGGAGAATGAAACTGAATTACAGTGGCGTGAGGCGGGGCAATTTGAGATTCTACTCGGAGAAGAAGAGAAAAATGTCAACTGAAAGGCATAGTTCTGGGACCTTCGCATCTCCTGAAGAAAATACTCTGTGAGTACACACGCAAATTACATCTACATACTCGTTTGTTTGCATGTCTACCATTTTGGTGGTTGATTTATAATCAGTAGTTGATATTCTAGGGTTATTATCATGATTCTGATATTACAGAAAATTGCCTGAAATTTCTGATTAACTTAGCAATTTCTATGGTGTTGTACAAAATTTATTTAGCGATAGTAGCTTGTGTTTCTTAATGCTACAACGAACAAGGAGGTCCAGGAAGATCAACGCTTCCACATGAATCAAAGCGCTCAAAATTCAGTAGATTAGCTCAATAATATGTTTTCTGAGTTCGGTTTATAAATGGAATGCGATGAAGGAGTTTTGCTTGAGCTCAGCTCTTTTACTCTAGTCACAGTGGAATATAAGGTCTCAAATTATATCATATATCAGCAGTAGAGCTTGAACTCAGTTTATGATTGTTTGGATTTGAATTGGTAGGTGAACATAATTGTGAAGTTCATTTATTCAGCTTGACTTGATTTAGCTCTCTTCCACCTGATATGATGCAAATCCTAAAATCCTCAACTGATCACAAATCCAGTAGGTTTTAATGCAGTAGTTACTAGTTATTTGGCTATTCAAAAATTTGAAAATGTTGATAGCATGAACTCAAAGAAGATTCTAATGTGCTGCAGTTTCTTTCTTCGGTGTGAGTTTTTACCCATTCTGTGAACAATAATTGGATTTTCCTTCTCTTAACCTTTCAAAACATTTGATATACATGGATTTCAGTTTTCTGTATAGAACTTTTCTATTAGAAAGTGCATTACTTGAAATTTTCAACTTCTTGTTGCTGAAGAAGTGATTGCTCTTTATTCTGTTTTAGATTCCTTGACATACTACACGAGGCACCTTTATTTGGTCATCGGAAGCCTACAAGGATTGTTGGGAGCATTCTCTACTGTTTTCTATTGGCAAGTGTTGGTTCTTTTTCTTGTATGATCCACTGTAGAATATCACAAAAATCATTTTAGAGAAAGTTGAGTTTTTTCAACTTTAGGCAGGTTTTGCTAGTTTGGCTGTTGGAGCTACTTGGATATTTCATCCTATAAAAGAATTAGTTTCTCCCCTGCTGTGCAGTTTTAATGTTATCCTTCTGTTTACCACAGGTATTCATGAAGCCATTCTCTCTTTTGGCTGTTTGTTTTTAATATGATTAGTTCTCCTGCACCCCACCCCAACAGCACAAATATTTTTCATTTCTAAAACATCACTCTGGTTGACTTCCATTTGACTTTTTACCCATTACATAATCCTTTTGTAATGTGTGTGCATGTATTATGCAGGCATTTTTCAACAATACCTAGTATACCAAGTGAAAAAAATCCGACTACAGGTTGTTATTTCTTTGCTGTTTAATCAGAAGCATGGAATATCTTGTTTACTTTTAATTTATACTGGGATTCATCCCTATGAGTATTTATTTGTAGGGCTACTACATTTTCAGCCAGAAGTTGAAGCATATAATCCGTTTACCATTTGCCACGATTGCTTATGGTATGTATTATTGCATATATATAGATGTACTATATGTTATCTAAATCTTTATCACCAAGGGACAAGGGTTATTGAACTTAGAGATAGGTAGATAAAATAACCTAGATGTTGCTTCATTTCATAGCTGCTTATAACTTGTAAGTCCTGGTACAAAAAGTGTAGCCATTATATAAATTTACATCCTGTCTATACTTGTTAGAAGCATGACTAACTTAAATAAGTAATGAAGTAGGATCGGGAATTTGTTTTCTTTTTTCTCGTATGCTTTTTATGCTGTACGGAGTATTTCTAGAAATCTATTGCAAAGGTTATGGCAACTAGTGTTAATACTTTTTTGGTTTACTTAAACCTTGACATGCCTTCAATAACACTTAACTGCATTTAACAACTTGAATCATCCATGTATGATAATGTATTGATTGACAGGAACTGCTGCAATGCTGCTTGTCATGGTTTGGAAACCACACATTAGCTTTCTATCCACGTCTACAATACTCAGGTTTCATTTTAGAACATTCAGAAGATGTTACCTGGATAGTTGTCTCCAAATACTTTTATGCTTAATTTTTTTTACTCTGACATGGGGCAGTAGTGTTCACCTTCATTGCCCCTTTTTTCGAGGTAAAATCTAAGGTTCTGTTCAAGATAACTAATATATTTAAAACTTTCAGCATAAAATAAAGTGCTAATAGCACCAATACCCAAACCTTTTGTAAAATTAGCAATTTTATCACATTCTTCTAAATTTGCGACTAAATTGAAATATTTCAAACCAGAATCAATTTTATTCAATCTATGTTTTTGGTCAAAACAAAAATTGATTATATATATATACTAGTAGTTGCACCCGTGCGATGCACGGCAATATTATTATGGTGCAAGATATAACACTTTGATAGATTAAAGATATAGTACCGATAAGGTTGAAGATATAGTAAATAGACAAAATATAATTTATTCGCCTTCCACAAATAAAATAATTACACATTCGCGTTCCAGTGCGGTCAGGCCTTAACATGTGGTCAGTGCGGCCGCACCATTAGGTATGCAAACACGCACCAATAGTGTTAGGAAACACACAACAAAAAAATGCACCAATGCACCAAAAAACGCACCATTAGGTATGCATAAACGCACTACACAGTGTTCGGAAACGCACAATTAGGTGTGGGGAGGTATGATGCATTTTTTGGGTGTGTGGTGCATTTCATTGTTGTGCGTTTTCTAACATGAATGGTGCGTTTTTACATACCTAGTGGTGCGGCCGCACCGACCACACGTTAAGGCATGACCGCATTTGAGCTGACATCTATATATATATATATATATATATATATATATATATATATATATATATATATATCGTAAGAAGCACCAACATGGCAATCCTGTTAGCAGAAATCAACACAAGTTTTGAGGAAAAAAAAGAATTAGATAAATGTGATTCTTGTTTGAGACATTTGAAATTTAGAATTTGATTGACAAGAGTAAAGTGTTGGATATAATTGTACTGGATTTTTCTAAAGTTTTGGATATCTGATGCTATTAGACCTAAAGTAAAAGTTGATGCGAATTCTAGTAAATATTCCACGAAATATGTTCCAAACCAATAACCTATGTTTACTTTAGGACCATCTTCTTGGTCTAAGGTCACAGTTTTAGAATGATCTGTCATAAGTACTTTGCAATGTGAAATGCAAAAACTTAAAAGTTGCATCTGCTGCTACACTTAGATGGAGATTAGCTATTACAATGGCTCAATGATGGTGCACAATTTTCTGATCAGTTGATGACTTGATGCTTGCCTCTAACATTTGCAGGATCATTTTATTGGTCGAAGTTGTATGTGCTAGTTCCTTCATCAGTGCTTATATTGGTGAGTAAATAAACAAGTATGGTCAAACTTGTTTGTTTTTACATACATCATTTTGTTTCCTAAAGACATGTTATCATTTGTCAAAAGTAACAATTAGTCAGCATAGCTGCATACTCCTTGAAAAGGTTATAAATTGCTTGTGTTAGTTTACGGTGATATCCAGAATATGTCATTTCTGAGATTATAGGTTAAGGTGGGGTTTTTTCATTGTAAATAATCATGTGTACCTGCAGGTTATGTCTATCAGTACAATTCACTTGATTCTCAACCTGATGTTCTAAAATCACTTTATTCTCCTCTTCAACCGTCTAGTTCTTTGGAAGGTTTGAGGTACCTCTTGGATCCAGCTAGCCATTTTTAATTTTGATCCTGCCTAGAATATCGTGATTTAATATCTTCAAATGGGACTGTAATCCTTATCAGTTTATCACAGCTTTACTTGAATTGGTTTCGTTGTAGTCCATTTATAACCATGCTTCCTTCAAATCTTTAAGCTTAACAACAATACTAGGGATCATGTGGGATCACAGGTATCATGATGGGGGTCGACTTTCTGATCAGCAAATGGCTCTATTGCAATATCAACAAGAAAATATTCACTTTCTGAATGAGGAGGTATGTAGTAAACTAGTAATTGATCAGTGGTGGCCTTGGTGGATATAATCTATGTTTTTTGGGTGATATGGGGAATTCAATTATTGGTCTTCTCCACGAAAGTAACGGGTGATAGTGTGATACCCACCTGTGTGTCTTCAAAACCAAAAACCCCCAAAAAAAAGAGAAGAGAATATCAAGAGTTCATTGTTGTATATCAAATGATTTTTCCTGCTTGAGTGATCCCACTCTTGAGGGGCAGAATGAAATTCTATCACTGTATTATTCATGACACCTTCAGTGTGTTTATGTTACTGAAAGATGAAGTGTGAAATTTTGTGAGGAATCCTAATCTCTGTATTTCTTTTGTAGATTCTTAGATTGCAAGAATGCTTAAGCAAATATGAAGGATCTAATGATGGGAGTGCACCTCAGGTAATGGACTAATGAATTAATGATCATCCTCACCATGGTACCAAGTGCCTTTTTGCAAGGAAGATTTTTTGTCTAACTTTTATAGAAGAAAATCTTGATTACGTAGCTTTAGTGCATGTTGGGTGCGAAGAAATCTTTGTATATAACTTTGATATTGATCGTGAAAACAGCATTGGGTATATTAGGCGCCTTTAGAACTGAAAACCATAAATCCGTGCATGATTTTTTCCTATTCAGTTTCTGCTAGTATTTCTCAAAGATGAATATTTGCCATCTTAGGTGAGGTCACTAGTGTTTATTGAAGCAAGTAAATAATGCAAAATAGTGGCACTTGCAGGTTGATCTTGCTCATCTATTGGCAACTAGGGATCAGGAGTTGCGTACAGTTTCAGCTGAGGTACTGTATGACTTATTATCCTTTTCGTCATTTGGGATTTTTTTATGGACTGTCTGATAATTTTAGTACATGTGTACAAAAGTGATGGATTTCTCACTTACGTGTTCGATGCTTTATGTTTGTTCAGATGAATCAAATGCAATCTGAGCTAATACTTGCTCGATCTCTGATTGCCGAGAAGGATGCTGAGATTCAACGTGTACGTAATACGAACAATCAGGTATGCTTAATGTTGTGTTTTTCAATTTATAGTTCTTATTATTCAGCATATTAAACCCAAAAAGCATGCCAATAGCTCATTAGACATTAATTTTGTGATGTTCTGAAGTATGTGGAGGAAAATGAAAGGCTTAGAGCTATTTTGGGGGAATGGAGTAGCCGGGCAGCCAAAGTAAGTACATTATTCTTCTCGAAATACTGATCAATACCTTTTCCGCAATTCGATATTAACAATTGTTTCCGGTGGACAAAAGCTTGAGCGTGCATTAGAGGCAGAAAGGATGTCGAACTTCGAATTGCAAAAGAAAGTTAGACTCTAAGAAGCCAAAGTCCAAACACGTGAAGGAATGTAGCAATCATAGCTTGTGTTCATACCATCTTGAATTCCAGTAATGATATGTTGCTTTTGATTCTTTGTATTCTTTTCATCTTCACACTTATATCGAACTATGTTATCTGAAAAGATGATCGTGATCCCACTTCACTGTTGTAGATCTTGTCTTCAACATAATGTCTTTACGATTCTCTTGAGCCAGGTTCCAGATTCATGCATGGTACATGGAATAGCAAGTTCTTAGATTGGAGCAAGTGAGTTTCCGCAAGTTTCTTGAAAGGTAACGTCTTTGAAATATGAATGAAAATGCTTACTCTTGAAAATTTTTGTGTATCAGTCTTTTTCTAATGATCATTGAAAATTTGGAATGTAATTTTTATTTTTTATTTTATAAAAAAGAGTGGCTCTTCTCTGAGAACATCTCGCGGGTTGGGTCAAAATTGAAATGTAATACTAATCATGAATAAAGTGGGGAAACCGTAATACTTTTGAATAATAATGTAATACTTTTAAATCAAAATGTAAAAAAGGTTACATTTATCCATATAAGTATTACACTTTTCCTTCTAAGTAACAAACAATTTATTCATGATTAGTACTACATTTTTAATATAAATATTATATTTTTCTCTTGACCTAATCCGTCACGAACAAGGATCCGTGAGACGGTTTCACACAAATTTTTGTTATGAAAAAAATGTTTTGCATCAGTCTTTTTCTAATGGTCATTGAAATTTTGTAATTTAATATTTAAAATGTTTTGACTTGAACATGTTATTTATTAAAAAGAAAAGTGATGATTTCACATATACAATTACATAAATCTGAATTAATTCACGCCAACGATGTCAGCAGAAAGCTTGTAAATTGTAATGCCTCTTATGGGGCGTTTGGTTGGAAAGAATGATAATTCCATTTCCATCTAATTTTCACATAATTTTGAAGATAAATAAATTCTTTTGTTTGGTTGGAAGGAATTTTAATTTTGTGGAATTGAAATTTCTAGGAATTCTATTTCTACAAATTAAATATTAAAATTTAAATTACTACTTTATTTCCACGTTATTCATCTCCCATTAAATTATAATTCATTTTCCACGTAATTTCCTCTCCAACCAAACGCCTTAACCATGGTTTTCTAAAATAGTATAGATAGGTGATTACTATGGCAAGTTAACCTGAAGGGTGTGGTTGAGTGGAAGGAACTCATTTATCTTTAACCAAAGGTCAATGGTTCGATTCTTGGCTTTGGATTCGTCTGTGTCCGACGGTGGAAATCTTGTATATACCAAAAAAAAAAAAAAAGACTGGCAAGTTGATTTTTTAACACCATGATGTTAAGTTAATTTTTTTGCATTTTATTTTATTTTTTTAAAATATGATGGTAAGTTAATTTTAGAAGTCAAATCTGATAGCGAAATTGATCATAACTAAAAGTATAAGAAGAAATAATTAACAAAATGGTAAGCTGATTATTACATTAATAAAAGTCCACGTGCTAATTGTCAAATACCGGAAGGCATAATAATATTGTGGATGTAAGTTGGTGTTGTAGATTTGTAGGCGTGCGTGGCCACCTTTGTGTCTCGGTTTTTTTGTGGTGGTTTGGCAAAGTCGTTAGATTTATTCAATTCCGTGAGTAACTTATCCAACCTAATCCTCTCTTATCTTTAAAGGATGGGATTATAATTGACCCGACAGATATACCAAAGATTCTGCCCATAATTGCTGTCTTCATAACATAAGCTTTCCAATTGGTGGACCTATTTGCTCTCATCCATTTTATACTCCCCCCTTCTTTTATTCACTCTCTAAGTTATCATGTTGGTTGCTCATCCTTTCTCTATTGCCACAAATTATGACACTCCTCCTTTAGCGACCCACCACCATAATCTATGTCACGATCGCTTTGCAAATTGATTTAATTAAGATTTCGAGATCCAACATTCTGGATAGAGTAACGAGTATCGAAGAATATTTTAAATGAAATTCAATAATAATTTAACTTTGAATTAGTCAGGATATTGGATATTAAACTGGTCTAATAAGTCAAATCCAACGATTATTCATGAGTTCAGTGGGATAGTCCCAATTACTGGCCCAAGCTTAGGTTTGTTAGGCATGTGTATCATACAAATAATGTCATTTAATGCTCACATGTAAAGCTGCTGTCACCGCAACATAACTGACAAGGTGTCACTTGAAAACTCAATGTTATATATATATATGTGTGTGTGTGTGTGTGTGTGTGTGTGTGTGTGTGTGTGTGTGTGTGACTTAGAATATCGAGAAGGTTGTAGTATAAATAGTAATTATGCATGTTATATCTGGATCTGACTTTTATTATTACTGTTGTTATTATGTTGCTTTGTTAGCAAATAATTGAACTCGGATCACTTTCACATAGTCTAAGATTGCAGATGTCAAAAGAACAAACATTAGAATACAAAAATAAGCAAAAATAAAATTGTGTGCATTAGGAAATTATTATTCAATGTATGTATCAAATATTAAAATTAAATGGATTATAATACTTATGAAAAAGGTTCAAAATAGTCATTCAACTACATGAGAGTGAAATTGGTTCGCTTAACTAAAAAAATGCAATTGATCTTTATAACAAGTCAAATTTATACAATCAAATCAATTTGACAGATCACTGATATAATGAGTAAAATTGTTGATGTGGCATTTAAAATTTTAAAAATTATTATTTTTTAAGTATGCTGAGTTGGACCAACGTTTTTCCAAAAATTAAACAAAAAATATTTAAAAAGAAAAACAAATTTTGTTTGTCTCTGGTGTTGGAGATGATGAACTTTTCTTTGTCTCTAGTACGGAAGAAGAAAAAAGTGGTGAATCGGTATAAAAATAATTTAAAATTAAAAATAAAAAGCCGCATAGCCTAGTGATCAAGAATTTGACTTTGGGGCCAATTGCTTTTTTTTTTTTTTTTTTTTTTTTTTTTTTAGCTGAATCACCCAATTGTATTTTTGTATAGTTTAGTTATTATTTTGAACATTTTTTTCTAATACTTAACTATATTTGTTAAAAAATATATAAAACGAAGTAACATTTAACTATATGTATATGTATAATTAATGCAAGCACGCCACATTTATGAAACCTCACAACTCTATCATAATCAATAGGTCCTAATCATACGATTTCATGCCGAGAGCCCACATCAAATTACCTAATAGTCAAGTTGTTGATAGTACAAAATCAGTAACATGTCAAACATGCCAAATGTTCACAAACAACACATAAATATCAATTACTAAATTAAGAAGACAAAATCGTATACAATAAACCTTGACAAACCAATTATATTTGTTTTTTTTTTTTTTTGTTTGTTTTTTGTTTTTTGTTTTTTGTTTTTTGCGTGGAGAAAGACCCGTATCCTACGGGAGAGAAAAGAAACAACTACCAAATTCTAGTTGCGCTTGCCCCAAAGGCGTCCGCCGCGAGGACAGGATTTAAGCTTAACGGCGGTAGGTCGAGCCAAGTGGTCCCCCAAACCGTAGTTTGCCCCAAGTTAGCTAGATGATCTGCATGTTTGTTTCCCGCGCGCAAAGTGTGCCGGAAGATCACATGTTCCATGCTAGTAGCCAGGAATCTATAGTCCTTAAAGATAGACGAAGAGCACTCTTCGGTGATCATATCGCCACTCATGGCTGCCACCACTGATTCCGAGCCCAGTTTGAAGATGACCATTTTTAAATCCCTGTCCTTTGCCAGTCGTAGATCTTCCCTTAGGCCCCACAACTCTGCGGCAAAGCTATTTGAAATCCCAATGCTTGTGATAAACCCAAAAAGCCATTCCCCTTTGTGATTGAATTTGTGTTTTAAAAAAAAATGTATATTCATATTTGTACGACACTTTATCGATGATTCACATACATAATTATCCAATGCATGTATCAAATATTAAAATTAAATTAATTATGATACTTAATTACATGTATATAAATAAAAAAAGTATAGTACAAAATAACATTTAACTATATGTATATGTATAAACTAATGCACGCACGATGCACGCATGATAACATAACAAACCAATCATAATAGTGGGGCACAACCATATGGTTTCGTGTCAGAGCGCCGAATTAATAGTTCTGTTAACATTACTGTAGAATCGATAATGTCTTGAACATGACAACTATTGACAAACCAATCGTATTCAACGAGCTGAGACCAATAATATGATATATTTCATGTTGGAAAGCACACATTTAATCAAATTACCTAACGATAATCCAACTATTGACACCACATAATCAACAATGTGACAGGTAATAAAATATATGATGGATAAACACCCTTTAAAAAGTTGCTGTGAATGAAACCCATTCAAGACTCAATTCATCTCATGAAGCGTGTTACTAATGTAATATGCATAAATATATTGAGTGATGCCCCAAAAGAAATTGCCAAGTAGATGGTGCACTAAGCATGATTCGAGTCCACTATTTAATATCTTCTTAATACAATTTATCTATTTTATATAATTTAAGAAAGAGTTAATTCTAAGAATTGTCCTTGACTATTGTCATTGACTAATTTTTATCAATCGATTTTCAATTGGACCATAAATGGTCCCTTAACTATTAATCTTTACCAATTTTTAGAGTAAATACCCAAAATGGTCCCTCGACTATAGCTAAATTCACAAATTGGTCCTTGACTTTCAATTTCAACCAATTAAGTCCTTAACTTTGTAATTTTAACACAATTTGGTCCTCTGTCTATTTGACCGTTTGTTGACTGTGATTTTTGAGGATATATATGTAATTTCATGGTCCATCATCGGTTTTTTAATGTTCCGGTTGCATTTCCAGACCGCACTGTTACATTCGAATCCACTGCCGAAAGCAATCTACCAAATCCGATCGCCTTTCTTCAATGTAGTTGAGTTCGTACCAGAGCGAAGAAGACGACGTGTTTCCGAACCGGTGCAATGTCATCCTGGAGGCCTCCACGTGCTCCGACGAGAGCTGAAGGTTCTTCTGGAGATCGTCGATCACGGTCAACAAATGGTCAAATAGATGGAGGACCAAATCGTGTCAAAATTGCAAAGTTAAGGACTTAATTGGTTTAAATTGAAAGTTGAGGACCAATTTGTGAATTTAGCTATAGTCGAGGGACCATTTTGAGTATTTACTCCAATTTTTACGATCGACTTTCAATTTAACCATAAGTGGTCCATTGACTATTGATTTTTTCTAAATTTGGTCCTCTAGTTAAATATTATTTTAATAAACATTAAATCTCAATAGGGGTGAACTGGATTTCTAACGGTCTTGAACCGATTAGTCCCTGCGAGGATATTGTGCATGCATGTAAGGAATGGATGAGTAAGGAGTGGTAAGGCATTGTTTGTCACACCCCCGTGAACTTAATGGTTTGACAGATTGGCTGGCTAAAAGTGCTTCACAAAGAAAATGTGAGTGAATTGAGCTTCATGTGCCACCGGTGGAGATTAGAGATATGTTAGATCTCGATTGTGCTTTCATTGCAACCCCAAGGGGGTAGCTCTTTGTTTTGTTATCGGGGTTTCCCCTCCTAACTTTCTAAGAGAATTTAAGGGTAATAATAAAAATTGTAGTTCTTTACAATGATGAACTCAATGTATTAAATTGATAAACTCAATTTGTCAATCTCAACAACAAACTAATTTTTATATTAAGAATAAAATTGTAGTTCTTTACAATGATGAACTCAATGTATTAAATTTATGAACTCAATTTGTCAATCTCAACAACAAACTAATTTTTATATTATTATTTTTAAATTTAATGTTTATTAAATAAATATTTAATTGAAAGATCAATTTTAAAACAAAATCAATAGTCAAGGGACCATTTATGGTCATGAAAGTTGATAAAAGGGAAAATGGCACTTTTTCCCCCTATGTTATATACTTATAGCACTTTTTCCCCCTCAATTATTTATGTAAGCACATTAGTCCCCTCAATTATTTTAAAAGTGGTGGTTTTCCCCCCTAATATATTAAATTGACATTTCTACCCTTAAAGTAAACATTTTATTTATTTTACTTCTCCAACAAATTATTGCGTATATGTAGCAATTACCACGGTTCGGTTCGAACTGAACCAGACACTATAGCAATCGAATTAAAAGTTTTCAGTTATGATTCATATCTAGAACCCAATATTTGGATTTCAATTTATTAAATTTAAGAATAAAAAAAAACTGGATCATGAACCGGCGGTTCCGGATCCCGTTCGCGATTTTGAACCGTCTTTATTTTAAAATTTTATTTTTTATTTTAAAATAGTTTAAATTCAACAATAAATGTATTTTATTTTTTCAGTTCGGAACATGAACCGACTATTCCAGTTCGCGATTTTAATAAACTCTAAATATCGCGTTTTGATTATAAATTGTAATTGGAATATTTTGGTTTGGTTACTATAGTATCTGGTTTGAACCAAATTATAGTAATAATTTATTGGAGAATAAAAATAAATGAAATATTTATTTTAAGGGTAAATATGTCCATTTAATATTTCAGGGGGAAAAAGAGCCACTTAAATAATTGAGGGGGAAAAAGTGCTATAAGTATATAACATAGGGGGAAAAAGTGTCATTTTCCCTTGATAAAAATTGATAAAAATCAATAGTCAATGAACCATTTATGGTCCATTTGAAAGTCAAATAATAAAAATTGATAAATGTTTATAGTTAAGAGATCATTCTTATAGTTAACTTTTAAGAAATATTACATAAAATCGAATAATAACTACGAATTTCCTTATGGACCAAAATAAACATATATATAGAGTAATAATGATACACGGTTTCTTAAAGATACGATAGAAGTTATCATTTTTTTTTTCTTTTGATAAAGAAGTTATCGTATTTGATGAACAAAGTTTGAAAGTAACCATTTTTGGAAAAATTAGAAAGAGTTCCATTAAATAGCATAGATCTCCACTACTTAGTTTTATTATTATTATTTTTTCCTTTTTCAACTCCCCTTAATTTATATTTTCCTTATTTTTAATAATTTAAATCGGTTTTCCTTTCTCAACGCAGTCGTTTAGCAACTTGGCACTATCCGAACCGGCAGTTCATAAAAATCCAGTGTCTTTCCTGCACCAGGGTGCACTCTACCAACTACACCAACCCCAATATCAACGGCCTAGGAGCGTTTGTAAAACCCACGTGTCTGCTTGAACGGTCCGGATATTATGAGGGCCCATCAGTACAGTGCAGCGGCACGTAGGATATCATCTTAGCAATTTCTATAAATAAAAAATTTAAAACGATAATCTTACTTAATTATCCAAGTTGGCAGTATTTTATAATCTTTGTCTGGTTAAAAGATAAGGAAGGCTTTCATCTTCCTCAGTTTATTCTTCTCTCTTTCTCTCTCTAACTGTACGTTTATATCTATATATCGTATTATATCTATATATATCGTATCGATACTATATATATACATATACACACCGAGGTATACGGTCTATATGTATCTTCTTGTTCTTGTTCTGCAGTACTGAAACTATGTCGATTGCGCTGGAGGGGAACAGTACCGGTGATCACGGGATCGAACGGCCGGGATTTGTGCACGGAATGACGTGTATGCCGATCTACAAGGCGACGGAGTTCTCGGTAGGGCGGGGTACGGTGGAGGAGGAGGATGAGGAGAGGAGTTCGTCGTCGACTTCGTCTATTGGGAGGAATAGCGATGATTCGCCGGGAGGAAGGTCGTCTTCGGGAGGCGGCGATGCGGACGGAGACGGCGAGGAAGTGCACAGCTCGTTCAAGGGTGGGGCTCTGGACAATTTGGAGGCTCTGGAGGAGGTTTTGCCGATTAAGTATGTGGATTTAACTCATTTCTTAATGGCTTTTAGATCACCTTAGGCTTCGAATGTGTTGAAATTATGAAGTTGTGACTTCTGATTCAGTTTGTTCTAGTTTTATACTTGGAGGATAGGTTTTAGTTTTGATTGCATGGCTGCGTGTGCGGATATTGGAAATTTTGCTCTTTGTTCTGTTCTGTCTGTGAGTTTGATGCTACAAACTGATTTCTTGCATGAACAGAATGTTAATTGCTTGGGTTTGGATTCAATAATGTTTTGACATGTATTTTTTTCTATAAAAATACAAATTATGCTTCTGAAGTTAACTAAAAATGTTGAAACATTTTGGGAACTCCGATAGGAATTTTGTGTCTTCTACTTCTGTTTGTATACGTGCACACATGATGATCTGATATGGATAAAGAAGTAGATGCGTGACTCTAATTTGAGCACTTGAAGGTTTAGGGGTTTTCTTTCCTTTTTCCTCTTTCTCTTTTAGGCAGAAATGCTCCATGTAAAATGATACTCCAATCTTGTGACTAATAAGTTGTGGTAAAAGGGGAAAAAGGAAATTTAGTTTACCTATTTAGAATTTGGAATACATTATGTATCCTAGGAATCTCTTGGTGTGATCCAAACAATAAACTTACATATCCTGCAGAACTTGAGTTGACTAATCTTGTGCATCTAAGCTAAAGTAAAGATAGCTTAATATTATCTTGAAAGATGAATGGTCTGTGCTGAACATAGAAAAGTTTTAATGCTTGACATCTGGTCAGTGATTGCAAATGGATGCAACCCAATTTTCTGTTCTCTTTCTTTCTTTATCTTTCAAGAAATGTCATGGGCAATGATATACTTTACAGTGTGTGATGTTTATATAATATGGAGTACTAATACTTTACAGTGGGTGATGCTTTTATAATAATGAATACTAATACCAAGAACTAAGTATGAAATTCATTTCATTTTCAGTTAGGAGATCATGGGGAAACTTTTTCTGAAGTTTGGATAATATTTTTTAGATGATGGTCCTGATGATAGTATTGCCTTTTATATGTAAATGCTGTTGGGACCACATTCTTTGCTGCAAAGATACAGGAACCTGACAGTCTCTGAAGTTCTGCTTTTAGGGTATTTCATTGCTCAGGCATATTGAAAAAGTTTTCCATCTTGATTTCAAGGCAGTGATCTTTTGGAAAAATTAATCATCATGCACTGCACTGTGTATTTTGCATGTATCTAAGTTTGGTTTTACTTGTTAATGCATTACACTTAAGAAACAGTGAACCTCTGTTTGCTTCATTTCCTAATGTTTTGTTTTTCCTTTCTTTCAGGAGAGGCATATCAAATTTCTATGCTGGTAAATCTAAATCTTTTACAAGTCTATCGCACGCAGCTTCTTGTTCCTCCCTCAATGACATTGTCAAGCCAGAGAATGCATACACAAGGAAACGCAAAAACTTGCTTGCTTATAATAATTTATTTAATAAGAATCGTAACCAGATGCGTCAAAGCAATATTGGTGGGCTCTACAAGAGACCTACTAATGCCAGGAGTTCACTGGGTCTTGCTGCAACTCAAGAAGGGAATTTCAACTCAAATCCATCGCCACCTTGTTCCTTTCTTCCTCCTCTCCCTCCCCAAACTCAGAATTCTCCTGAACAGAAGTTCCTTGGATGGCGTTCTTTCTCCTTGTTTGATCTGCAAGGTGCTGCAGCTGGAACTCCCAACACCACTGGCGCAAAGGAATAGAGAATATAAGTTGACGGTAGTTTAGTTTTCTGTGTCACCCTATGAACCTAAGTTCCATAGATGTTCATGGAGGTGGGAATATTTTCCTATCTGTTTTAGGCTTTTATCGTGGGCTGTTGCTCTCTGTATTCACTGCTCAAGGCATACCTCCTGGGCATCCTTAGTATGTAATTTCATCATCGACACAAACTGCTTAACCTGTTTTTTGCTGTTGTCTGTTGTATATCTGAGTGCATTAGCAATACAATTCTCCATCTTCCTTGAATTTGCTCTCACTTTTAGGCTGAAACTCTCTGCCAAAGATGGTAGACAAGATTTTATTTCTTTCTTTCCTGGAATGTGTGGGTTGCAATTTTGCAAAAGCTGCCTGCATAACTTTGAATAGTTTTACAGCTATGCAGGTGCCCTGTTATTTGTGTAATTCTGCTATTTTGCCTTGACAACGGTGGCTAAACCATACTGTTCTCCTCCTTGCAGTGAGGAGACCTGGTGGCTGGCTACCAAAAGAAGTCTTGGCACAACATCCTGATGCTAGGTATTGAAAAGTTAGCACATTGCGGTCATTGCCTCTCTTTCCAGTAGGGTATAAATGGATAATGTCAGGTTCCATTCTTTTTCAACTTCTTTGTAGTGGATGGGATGGTTCTAGTTACTCATTCAACTTTTGGGCAGCCTGGGCTATGCTTTAGCTCCCGTTTACAATGTGAGGGATGAGGGATAGTCAGAGCTGCCAAAACTGAAAGGCAACATGTGAGCATCTAAAGTTAAGCTGCCATTTCTATCAAGAATCAGAAGATATAGTGGCATGAACTAGACTATGGATCTCCAACTTCAAATCTTTCAAGGTATGTTATTGAACCTGGGGAATGGAGGATGTTCTGCAAAGCAGGCTTTGCTAATTGCTATTAAGTAAATTTTGGGCTTGAGATAAATCACATAATTACTGCCTTTTCTATGCCTTGCTAGGGGCTCTGGTTCTCAGTCTGTACATGTTTCTTGGGAGACTAGTCCCCCGGATTGTCTTCTTCAGTTTTTGAGTTAATTCGATTAACTTTCCTTTTTCAAAAAAACACACACACACACACACACACACACACACACACACACACACACACACACACACACACACACACACACACACACACATATATATATATATATATATATATATATATATATATATATATATATATATATATATATATAAACATATTGGTAAATACAAAACACACAATAAATGAAAGGCTATAAAAAATACAGAGTAAATAGTTAGCACTTTGGAGTTGGCTTGTGCATATCTGATTTGGTAGAGGCATGTACTCCTGTGAAAAAAAGGCAATGTGGGCTTACTCTTGTGGAACTGTTCTATATTAATCCTTTGAATTTGAATTGTTTCTTCACATTCTTCTGGTAAATGTTGAAGAAATTAATATGAAAAGAAAGAAAGAAATATTGAAAATATCCCTTGAGATCTGGGAAATAGTAGCCAGCAAGTGATCATAATCAAGCCAAACATTTTTTGTTGGATTGGATTTGTCGTGGTGTGCTCAAATTCAGTTCAAGCTCCATCAGCTCACCTTCAGGCTCAAACATGAACTTTTATACATGTAATAGAGTATACAAAGTATATATTTGTACACATGCACGCATATGTTTGAACCCACTGAACCAAAATCCTTTAGGGCTTTAGTCACCATTGTTAGGTTGGACATAATTAGGCTTAGGATGAAAGGATTCAAGGCATACATTAAACCTTCTTTTACCTATTGTAAACTACTGGTAACGTGGTTAGGTGCATATGATATCGACTTTTTGATCCATTATGACTTTGCCCTTCCTCGGACTTGTTAAAAACTTGTATGCGAGTTATATTTGAAGAATATAAATGTAGCCCATGCCACTATAGAGTTGTTTCCAAAAACATTAATTTCTACCTACTAAAGATGGTTTACGCTTTCGAGTGCTTCCAAAAGTATAATAAATCCTCGTTGTCATGGTTTTACATCGAGTAAATCGCATTCATGACACTTTCTCACACTAAGCTATGTGAGAGTGCCGCCCTATAAATTGGGTCAGTCCGATGAGATTACTGCATAACGAGCTCTTAAGGCGAGTGTCTTTCCCCTCTTCAGGTTTCTCCTCTTCTTATTAAGCAATAAAAATACTGTTAACTTTATTTGCTGTGCTTTTCTTTGTAAGACTCCCTTTTTCTGTTAGTTTGATTTTGAGCTGTGAAATATTGGCCAAAATCTACCAAACAGGTTGGCGTTCTTGGTGTTCTTTTTTGTACTAAGAGTGTTACTGGTTTTGGTTTCACAGCGCTCTCCGTTATGTTTTTCTTGTCTTGCTTCTTTTTTGTCTATTTTAATATCTGGGAGATTCATGGTGTGAATTTTCTTGTTAACAGGTGTAAAATCTCAGTGGTGTAATTTACAATGGATGCTATGCATTCTGAAATGACAGATGAGATGTTCATGACTTTCCATAAAATTGACAGAAACCTCTATTCAATGCTCGTTTTTGAACTGGGACACGACCCCTTCGAATCTGCATGGGTAATAGCCTTGTGGATTTGGCTGGAGCGAATTGGGTTCAACAACGTTGTGCAAACGATCTTGTCCTTGCCCAAGAGTTTGATCAATGGACTTGCTGGGGAGGCAACAGTATGCCTCAAATGCATCCGAGACACCCAAGGGGTGCTCTCACCTGCATCAAGCGAAATATTACTAACTCAACGAATTGTGGGTAAACAGTTGTCCCTCCGTTTTTTCCTTGAACATCAGGTCACAGCATCCCATGGGATCAAGGATGTGGTAGCTGAAGTTTGCGTCAAGGCACTGACGGATCTCATGGAGGCAGCTATTCATAGAAACACCGCACAGCGTTTCTCTGATCGGATGGTGATGATACCCCCAGCAGCTCAGGTGCCCACAGCGCCATCTACCCAAATGGGACGACCAAGAGGTGAGGCGTTGCAGGTGAGACCTCAGCCCAGAACAGGAACAAGAGGTGAGACATCTCAGGCAAGACCTCCTCCTTCCAACATCCTACCACCAGAGGAGAGGACTATGTTCGCCACATTTTCCAAGGGCTATCCCGTGGCCGAATGGGAAGTTATGGCGTTCTTCACCAAGCTGCTAGGGAACTGCATCGAGGCTGTCCACATGCAGGCGGTGAAGCCCCTCGAACAGGCACTGTATGCACGGGTCGTCTTCTTCAACCCTGACATCATCAACCTCATTCTCAACGGCCAGCAGAAGGCGAAATTTACCATCAACGGTAAGCACATCTGGATGCGGAAATTCATCCCGAGGGGCCCCACCGCTCCATTGCCTCAATACCCATCAACGAAACCAGGTCCGTTCCTGTGAGTATATGTGCTTACTTTTTCGTTCTAGTTTATAGTCAATAAGTGGTCTAGCTACCATTTTAGTCATCCATTTCCATTCTGAATTATCTGGATTTGAATGTTATCTATCTTATTAGATTATCTTGCATGTTATTCAGATGAAATTGGTATAGTTAAAAGGGTAGCTCAAAAATCCATGGATCATATCAAATATCTCTATCTTGAATTTTCGATACCGAAATTAAGTAAATTTTAAATATATTATTAGGAGTGTATGAATTGAAGTGAGTTTAGATTACAAGAATTTGATTGCAGTGAGTAGTTGGGAATTAAAGCAATAATGAAAGTGGTTTCTTCTTATCTTGGTTAGGGATTTCAGTAATTTGATTCATTAATTTAGTCTATGTGTAACGGCTGTTCATTAATGCTTTTTTTGTTTGGTGGTAACCAAGTCAACTTAACCTAACTTGGTAAAAATATGACGTCATCTCGATGTCATATTGTGCTGTCAAATATCCAACTTGGCTAACCAAATTGTGTGAATTAAAATTTTTAAAATAAAAAATAAAAGTTTTTAAAATTAATAATTAAAAAATAGTTTTTAATTTTTTTTTAAATAAAAATAAAATAATTGTACACATATGATCTACATAATTATAGGACACAACTGGTAACCTGTTGATTAGGTAATAATAAGGTTTAATTGTATTATTTTGCCGGTTTAGGGGATTTCATTGTTTTTTTTTTTAATTAAACGATTTAATTGCACTATTTGTTAAATTTAGAGGGTCACTTTGACATTTCCCCCCTATAAATATAAGTTAATCGAAAGACAATACAAGGTCAATAATGATTTTGGTTTGTTAATAAAGAATGATAAGTTAACACGTTCATCAGAAGTGAGACCTTCAAACTTAAAGAAAAAAAAAAAAAAGATACAATTGAACACACTTTATCATCTATAGTAAGCTATGGAGTATTAGTTGTGCTTCAAACTTCGGAATACGAATGAGATAAAAAAGGCCATCATTGGGGCAAATGATGCAATAGCTTCGGTTAGAGCAAAGCCCAAAATGGCATAACCAAATAATTGTTTAGCCAATGATGAATTTCGCGCCACGAAATGAATCAAGGAATTAAGGACGTTTCTAATACTGACAACATCTCCCGCTGAAGCAATTGTAGCAGCTCCGACACCTCTGTTTCTTTGGACATCTTAGCAGATTCATTGTGCCGCAAGCCCAACTTGGCTTACGCATATGATCAGAAGAACTTTCTTCAACGGCCCAAGATTGGGACATGACTTCCATGAAATGAAAATGGGCGGTATCATCGTATGCTCCACTCTTGTTGCCCTGGTTTATATCCCGGAGTACATTTTAGCAGATTCATTGTGCTGCAAGCCCAACTTGGCTTACACAATGATCGGAAGAACTTTCTTCAACTGCCCATGATTGGGACAGGACTTCCACCAAATGAAAACAGGCGGCATCGTCGTATGCTCCACTTTTGTTGCCCTGGTTTATATTCCGGAGTATTCCTATGGCCAAAGAAAAAAGATACAATTGACTATAGTAAGATAGTATTTAGTCATAACTGATTTGAATGTCACGTTATATTTTTTATATGATGTGGACGCCAACTCATATATTTATTGTTGATTTGGGTGCAAACCAATAACAACAACAACTAAGCCCTTTGAATAGTTGAATTACAAATTAATATTATAATGTTCCCAAACATAACAAATGCTTGTTGCATACACAAAGTTCAAATATTTGTGTATGCATTAACACTTTTGAGAGAACTTCCATATGAATGAGACTTGACAAAATAAGGAAGGGAATTTTCAAGGTGTTAAATATTGATTGAAGCATCCATGCACTTCTACTCCATAGGGTGATCGAATCATGTGC